CAAAAAAAAAAAAAAAAAAAGAAATGGAAAAGTGTAAAGCCATTATGCTTTTAAGTCTCTTTTCCCTGAGATTCATTGTTGATATAGATATAGCATTTCGGCAGTATCTATGGTTTCATTCTTTTCCTTTTACAAAAATAGGCAAATAAATTTAATAGCAAAAATATGAGTGGACTATGGCTTTTTAACAAATAGACAACCAAATTCTGACACTATAGGTACAATGACGTTATTAAAGCTCTAATTTCTGATTCAGTTACCCAAATTTAGTGACTAGTTTGCTCTAAATGGATTCCTCATAATAATATAGTAACTTGGATTTATGAAAACTAAACTCTCTCTTGTCAAATATAATGCATTTCCGTATTTCAGGATTATGACAGTTATCTTAGAAATACGCTACCTGGCCGGGCATGGTGGTTCAAGCCTATAATCCCAGCACTTTGGGAGCCAAGGCGATAGGATTACCTGAGCCCACAGGTTCGAGACCAGCCTGGGCAACTTGGTGAGACCTCGTCTTTAAAATAAATTACAAAAACTAGCTGGGCATGGTAGCGTGCATCTGTAGTTCCAGCTACTTGGAAGTCTGAGGCAGAAGGATCGCCTGAGCCCAGCAAGTTGAGGCTGTGGTGGCCGTGAATGTGCCACTGCACAACAGCCTGGGCAACAGAGTGAGACTCAAACTCAAAAGGAAGGAAGGGCGGGGAGGGAGGAAGGAAGAAAGGAGGGAAGGAAGGAAGGAAGGAAGGAAGGAAAGAAGGAAAGAAAGAAAGGAAGGAAGGAAGGAAGGAAGGAAGAAAGGAAGAAAGAAAGAAAGAAAGAAAGAAAGAAAGAAAGGCTACCTGGGCTATGTCTGAGCTACACTGGATCCCTGGTGTGAAGTTTGAGACTGTATGCATGTGCTCAAAATTAAGAGTTCTAAGCCAGGAGCCAAGGATACTCTAGGACAATCCATTGACTTTGAGGGGTACATATTCTCTGGAACTGTGCAATTTGAATTGTGTGTGTTTTATTCTGTTTTCCTAGGAGATGGACCGTAGCTTTTATCAGATTCTCAAAGGGTTTATAACCAAAACAGGTTATGACCCAGAGCTTCCTATATTTAAATAGGGAGTCTCCCACTCTAGTCTCCCTTACCATAGTGTGGTGTTGAAAACAGGATGTAAGCCGGGCTCTGTGGCTCAGCCTGTAATCGCTCGCCTTTGGGAGGCTGAGGTGAGTGGATTGCCTTAGCCCACGGGCTCGAGACCCGCCTGGGCAGGCGAGACCTCATCTCTACAATAAATCAAAAAATCAGCCAGGCGTGGTAGCGCATGCCTGTAATTCCGGCTACTCGGAAGGCTGAGGCGGAAGGATCGCCAGAGCCCAGCAGGTCGAGGCTGCGGTGGCCGGGAGTGGCCACTGCACTCCAGTCTGGGCGACAGAGTGAGACTCCAACTCAAAAAAAAAAAAAACAAAACCAAAAAAACAAGAAGACAGGGTGTAGAAAGAGAGAGGGAAAAAAAATCTGGCCTTCTCTTTTCTGGGTCATGATTACAGACATTTATGTAATGTACCGACAGCCCTGAGATTGATTTGCTATTAAATGTGCATCAATGGGACCAGCAAAGAGTCTGAATTTTATTTCTTTTGCTGTTGCTTCCATACCATTTCAGGAAGAGTGGGTGGTTTTGATCAGTCAGTAGCCAAGGAAAAATCTTTATTTTCAGTTACAGAATAAGCACAATTTTTAAATTGTGGGGCAAAAAGTGAATTTGACATTGTCGCACTTGATCGTTGTCCCTGTATCTAAAGAGATGGTGTCAGTTTGAGATGGTCATTGTCAAAGGTTTCAGATGCAGTAAAGGTGTACCTAACTTCAATCATACCCAACATAGGACACTGTGGCTTTTTTGACATGATAATGTAATGAGTAGTGACTTAATGAAAAATTACTTTAAATAGAAAGCTAATTTTCTAATTTATTCAACACACAGAAGTTAATTCTAATTCTTTTTCAGGAATATAAGGGAATACGATTCTCTTCTAGGTGGCATTTAGCCTCATTGTGGGGAGGAATGTTACTTTTGTTAAAATAATATTTTAAAATAAAATGTATTAAATAGTACACTTTATTACCTTTTCAAGATATTTAAGTGGGATAATTATGTAGCTAAATTTTCCTCCGGTGTGAGAAATGTGATGTGATAATTTTTTATTATCAAGGCTAATTCCAAAATACATGGTCAGCATATAGTAGTTTTCATGTGGATTTAAGGAGTGATAATTACCATTGTACATATTTAGGTATGATGTTAAAATATCAAATTGTGTAAACTTTACTGTAATTATAATGGTTTAGCTTTCAGGAAAAATAGTCTGCATATGCATAAACAGGAAGAAAAAGAAACTTTAAAACTGAGGAAAACATTTTCTTTAATTTGAATTATTGAATGAGATGCAGAATAATCCTTTTCATGTTACAGATATGGGAAATTTATGAGCATTAAAATGATACTGCTGCCATTCTTAAATTTGCGTGACCAGGAACTATCTAAAAATTAGTTTGTATTTGATTTTGATTTTCCAATCAGTTGATTGACCCATAGAGATGGGCCAAATAGAAATGGCAATGTCTTATTCCTCCTTTAAAGAAGATTCCAGTGACTTAAACTTAATAATGGTACTCATTGAGTTACTGGTTATTTATGCTCTTGAACAACAACAAAGAGCACTAAAGATTTCCTCTTTCTGATGCCAGTGAAATTAATCAAATACAAGCATTCTTTGCATGCTAATTACATGCTAATAATTTTTCAAAATGTTTTAACTTATTTTATTTTTTTATTTATTTTTTGTGAGTTGGAGTCTCACTCTGTCACCCAGACTGGAGTACAGTGGCCGCTCCCGGCCACTGCAGCCTCAACCTGCTGGGCTCCGGCGATCCTTCGA